GATCCGCAAAATTACGTTCCCGCTGTAAAATAGCGTTCAATAAAACATTGAAAATTATGTTATCTTCAGCCAAATGAGAAACTACAAAAGCGAATCAATTGCAAGTATCCAGAGTACATTCTTTGTTTTTGGATTTACTTGAAACACGATTAACGAATCACCGAACAGCTGTGTATCTCCTCTTTGTAAAAATATAGAGAAGTTGGAATATTGAAAAACAAAAAAAACAAAAAAAGGAAGAAGGAAATGATAAAAATTCAAACTATTTATTCATTATTAAATTATAACAGTCTTGAAATAAATTGTTATAGAACAGTTATAAAGGATTCAAAGTGGAGTTAAAATACATTTATATAATTGTAATTCCATCAATAACGACTTCATATGAAGAATAAGTTTTCCTATAAGTGATCACAACCAGCATTGTAAATTTTAGTACATAACAAAAAACTAATGCTAACTGCACCCACAGTGCACTGCTCACCGCCTTTCTATATCTCGCCATGTTCAGAGCAGTTGTTTGGCTCGGCTGTTGTTGAAAATGATTTTTTATTTGAGCCTGATGATGTCTAAGAGTGCGAAATATCTTTGTGTACGAGGTGATTGAGATCACTTAGCATGACAGTATAATTATAGTACTATAACAACGGGTTATTCGAGTATGTGAAATGGAAAATGATCCCGGGACGACGGATAAAATCTAAAACGTAGCTGTAATGATACGTGTGCGCTTTAAAGTTACTATTTGTCTGTATCTTATCCCCATTAACAGAGCGAGAAGTATGTCCACATTATGGCCGTCAACGTTAACAAAGACACTGAGTATAATGCAAAGCTTGATACGTAAACCGCGTCCCTTGCGTATCGACAAAGACCACATTGTTTGCAAACCAAGAACATGCCATAAGTAGCAACGAGAGGCTGGCTAACAAGACCAACCAACAGATTAGTTGTTGCCAGACAGCGATACAAGAGTTTGGACGGCGGACGAAAGGAAGTTTCCTTGTTAGGGGCAACAAGAATAATGGAGAGGAAAATGTTAATCAGTTGTTGAGAAAAAAAATTGAGATTTGTCTTTCCTTCCTCACATAAGTGGGTGAGTACATGATTTCTCGATAATTAATCGTCACTGTTTCGTATGTTGTTGAATTAGTTGCCGCAATCAATCAGGTGCAAAATATTACGTAACTACCAAGAAATGCAGTGATGGAGAGGAAAATGTTAATTTTTTAGAAAAAAAATTGAGATTTGTCTTTCTTTCCCCACATAAGTGGGTGAGTACATGATTTCTCGATAATTAATCGTCTCTGTTTCGTATGTTGTTGAATTAGTTGCCGCAATCAATCAGGTGCAAAATATTACGTAACTACCGCTATCACAACCTCCACGCCACTTTCATCGTTATTCGTCACCAGATCTCTATCATTTCTCCCATTTTTTACCCCTTGTACCATTTTCCTGTCAAAACTGAAGCACACTTCACTCAAAAAAAAACAACAACAAAACAAAAAATATATATATATTTCGTTTGATTATTAAAAAATCGTACGCTTGTAAATCAGAAGCAATGTTTAGACTACAGGAGAACGTTATCAATTCCTTTCTAGTGTCCATTTGGTAGCAAGATGAGAATCGTGAAAAATATGAAAAGGTTAAGTCTCAGTCTCAGACGATGACTTACCCGACTTCCTCAGCATGAATCGACATGGAAGGCAAGTAATATTACTCATTCGATATCGTGTCTTTTTCTCATGCATCTACGACTGTGGTTTTTTTAAACCATGAGCTCCCACGCATTATGAAGCACGCGTAACTCCAGCTCAGGGAAATAAAAGTATAACTCCATGGAAAGCAAAATGCTTATCTGATTTGTCTGCTTTACTGCTTGTCTTACTGCTCTGATCTTCCAGCAGTGAAGAAACGGGTTCAACGTGGAATTTAAATACAGCACAACTGCCGTTATTCCGAAAATGACGACCATATGTGAAGAGTTTTCTTTTACTATGAGTGATTTCAAGGAACATTATAAAACGTGGTACATAGCAAACAACTAATGCTACGTGTACCCACAGGGCAATAATCACTGCCTCTTTGTATCGCGCAATGTTAAGTGCACTAGGTTGGCTCGGCTGATGTTGAAAATGATCTTTTATTTGGGCCTGATGAGGAGACTCTTACACTAATAAAATGCTTAAAACGCTTTTTTAAAAATAATTTCTTTTAACCGAGTTTTCGTCTTACTTGCTCAATCTTAAAATAACTTCACGGGACTCAGTAGTCCTACATGTTATCGAGGGTTCCTCAGCTGCTAGAAATCTGGACACTAGTAAGACGAAACATCTATTTTTATCTCAGGTTGTCAGCGGTATATATAAAAAGCGAGCACACGTGGATGTTCTTCAGTCATCGAAATCAAACACAACATGCCGGTCGACAAGATAATCCCCGAAACGGGTCAAAAATGGCCAGAAAATGTGGGTATTATTGCGATGGAAGTTTACTTTCCTTTTACATGTGTCAACCAGGAAAAATTGGAAGAGTTTGATGGCGTTAGTAAAGGGAAATATACGATCGGTTTGGGGCAACGAAACATGGGTTTCTGCGGAGACCGCGAGGACATCAACTCGATGTCGCTTACGGTTGTTCACAAACTGATGGAGAGAAACTCAATCGATCCAAATGATATCGGCCGGCTTGAAGTTGGAACAGAGACGTTGATTGACAAATCGAAATCTGTGAAAAGCTTTCTGATGCAGCTGTTTGAGGAGAGTGGTAACACAAACATTGAAGGGATCGATACGACAAACGCTTGTTATGGTGGTACACAAGCGCTCTTTAATTCAATTGCGTGGATAGAAAGCAGTGCGTGGGATGGTGAGTTTTAAATTTATTGAACACTGAAAATTAAAGGAAAGAATGTTGTTTGCTTGAGCTTTAGACTTTTATTAAGTACAAAGGTCGATCATTTCATTCCGAGTTGTCAGGTTTCAACTTGCAGTCCTTGCAGATTCAAAGTTCTCAAACTAAGCCCAGAGCTTTTTTGTACAATGTCACATTATGGCTTCATTAGAAAGCGAAGAGACTGTCTTGCTTAGAAAATGTAACTAAACAAAGCAATTAAAATAATGAAAGCCTCGGGAAAGCCTTTTTTTATCGACGCTAGTTGGGACGTAGATGAAACTTCTGAGTAAAACAAATGTTCGTACGATAAGTGCTGTCATAAGCACTTTCAAGTGTGCCATCGTGATTGAATTAATGACCCAACAAAGACTTCCGCTGATTATTTTAGCTTCATCTTTTGACCCAACATGCCCCGGCAAACACATACGGATATCGGGCGATATTTTCTGAATATTATTCCCCAATGTTGAAACATGATAATTCAATTATTTTTCAGACTTCTCAGGTATAGTGTTGTCAAGTTTATGTAGACCATTCAGTGTTGCTAATCATGATTTCTTGGTTCATTCTAGTAGAAAATGAAATGAATATGTATTTCTTAGTACATTAATATCTATGTAAATATGTATGCTTATAATCAATCAGATATTTTTGCTGATGTGTAACTGCTTTTAAATGTGTCATTTGGCTGAACAGTCATGAAAAAGCCATGTGGCTTTTGCACTCACTCGGCTATGTTGCAAAAACTATAAGAAAACATATATATATATATCTTTATTAACTGTGAGTGTCTTGTTTTGATTTTAAAACTAAAGGAAGTTTTTATCATAGAATCTGGTCGTCCCTTTCCTGCCTGTCTACCATGTCTTATCTAGCTTGACTCAAAAGTTTTGAGATTTTCAACACGTAGCGTTCATATGTTAAAATACTTATTGATAGAGTTTGATCCAGCCAGATGGTAAAGTACTTGGCTCTCAGTCATAATGCACAGACTTTTCAATCCTAAAGTCATGATTTTGAGCCAAAAATGTTCTAGCCCAGCCTTCCCAATCATTCTCTAAGTCTCTACTGGTCGTATTTTTCATGTCTTTTTCTTTTTGTAAAATTTCATGTAATAATCTACTCTTTTTTTAATGTAATGAAGTGGAGGAAATGATAAAAAAAATCAAAAACAAAACAAAACAAAAAAAAACATTCTCTATGTGGCACAAAAAATATGCCTGTGTACTTATCTTTGGACAGTATCTGTTTCTTAAAGTGATAAGTTTTGGTTTCAAGAGTTTTGCTCTCAGGACAGATAAGCCCACATACAAATATTCTGTCATATTTCTTTACAAAATGGTGGCTATCATTTATCACCAGTGTACTTTTGAAATGTTCATTACTACTGTTCAGTTGCGCACACATGTGGGGCTGAAGTAGGCCATGTAATTTTTTACCCTCCCACACAAGCCTGACTCCTTCTTTTGGTTTTGATGCACAGGTCGACTAGCTATTGTTGTTGCCGCTGACATTGCTGTATATGCAGCTGGCAATGCACGCAGCACTGGTGGAGCAGGAGCAGTTGCTATGCTGGTTGGACCAAATGCTCCTGTGGTTATGGAACGAGGTAATATGACTTTTAATCTTTTTTACTCCTGTGAGTGACCAAGGCAGAATTTCTCTTTACTATATCTGTACAGTATCATGCAGACAAGCGATGAGAATAAAGAAAAGTATCAATTATGTGCTTACTAATTGATCCTATACTGAATTCTCCAAACTGACATAATGAGAATCATTTGGCAGACAGTTAGGAGAATTACTAATGAGATCTTGGGAGTTAAAGGGTCAACCCTGACATTATTTTAGGTTACATAATTGAACACCACTTAATCCTTTGAGCCCCTAAGTGCGACCAGAGTCGAATTTCTCCTCACAAGATTACCCCCCAAATGACACATTTAGGTCACAAGAATAAAGGAAATGATCACCAGCTAAAGAAGCTCTTGATTGTTAAACAAATTCTCCTTGCCAGCCCATTAGGAAATGTGTAGAAAGCAGTAGGGAGAATAGGCATATTGATGTTAGAGTGTAAAAGGTTAGGGGTATGCAGTGTCAGTAGCTGTTAATTTGCAAGAAACAGTGGGATCTAGAGAATCCACCAAATGGAGGAGGAGAAAGTTGGTGAGAGAGCATTTTCTGTGATCTACTAATGCAAAGACCCACAGCAACCTGGAATATATCTACTAACTATATGATAGAAAAGGCAAAATGTTGTTTATGGTGATTTCATCTATATGTTTGTCATCAAGGCATCGTAAGGAAGAACTGATCAAACTTCATGTGTTATTCAGCTTATCATTTGATGTCCAATATTGTAAGCTTTTGAACCAGCAGGTAGTTAATTCTAGAAATTTTTTACACTGAACATATTAAAAAGGATTTAGGGGTTTTATAAAGAATTGTTTTATCATACAGAAATAGAAATTAAGGAAGACAAAGTGCTGCCCATTTTTTATGGGATTTATTGGAAGGGTCATGTGCCTCTGAGAATTGCATTGTACAGTGTGTCCGTTAAGGGTTGATTTCAAGTATTTTCTGCCTAGATGTTCTGTTTATATCCGTATTTTAGGAATTTGACACTTTTTAGATATTAGAAACATATTCTACTTTTTAATTCTTTTTTTCTTTATTTCACTACATAACCAACTAGGTTATTAATTAATTTGTGAAGATGTCATTTGTGAAGGTCCCACTGAAAATCGCCTCAGCAAGTTGAGGTTGCTCATTAGATATATGACAATCATAATGATAGTCAATATTATTATTATTATTATTATTATTATTATCATTATTCTTATAAATTACTTATTTACCATTTCCTTCATTGCATTAGGATTGAGGTCAGTACACATGCAGCATGCATATGATTTCTACAAGCCAAACATGTCCTCTGAGTATCCTGTCGTTGATGGAAAACTCTCAGTTCAATGCTACTTTAATGCACTGGACCAGTGTTATAAGAGATACAAAGAGAAAGGACAGCAGCTCTGTCAAAAGGCATCATTTACACTGGATGATATCGATTATGCTGTGTTTCACACTCCTTTCTGTCGGATTGTTCAGAAATCACTGGCCCGGTTGATGCTTCAGGATTTTCTTTCTGACATGGGATGTGAAAGTTCTGAGAGAGAAAAGTATTCTGATTTAGTAAAATTTAGGTGAGTCGTATGTCACATGTTACTATCACACTCATGTAACCATAAACACCAGCTGTCAGTTGAATAAAGGGCGGATAACGCAATCCAACGGATAAATCACTATCCAGCAGACGTGATAACAAAACGTATAGCGTTATCCACCGGATGGAGATTTATCTAATGGATAGCGCTATCCGACCTTCGAACAACAGGGGCCAGAAGAATAGAGCAAATTTTTAACCGAGTGTCGAAAATAATCCGTGATTGCATTGGTTTTTGCTTTAATTCGCTCTTTGATTGGTCCAGGAAACTCGCGCCATTTTCTCAACCAATCAGATGCAACGCTAACACCAAGTGCGAGCTGGTTGCCTGCGTTTTCCCGCGCTTTAGGCAGTTTGCGTGTTTTAACTCTGAGCTCTCATTGGGGCTCTTCAGGGTTCTTTCCTTTTCATTTGATTGGCTGTTATCTCTTATTTTGGTTTGGTTTTACTACACTCAATCGAAAAGCGCGCTACCGAGAATAACTTCTTTCTTTATCTGAAGACCGCAGTCAGAGGTTAGCTTCTCTCTTATTATCTTCCTTACATTCTGTTCATGTCATGTATTGTACAGTTTAACAATAAGCAGACATGCCTATCCAGCAGTTCATTGTAACGATCATCAAGGGCTCATTTCTCTCTCATTCCCTTTCATGCAGAGATGTCAAATTGGAAGAAACGTTTCAAGACGAGGGTAAAGCCAAGGAAATCGAGAAAGCGTCAATGAAATGTAGTAAAGATGCTTACGACAAAAAGACGGCGCCATCTTTGTGTATTTCTCGTAACGTTGGAAATATGTACACACCTTCACTTTATGGTTGTTTAGCTTCCCTCCTGTTCAGGTAATGGCCAGCGTCAAGTCATTAAAACTAGGAAATATATTCAATGTTGTGTTATGGTGATTTGACAAGAAACTAGATCGATATCTACGGTCAAGAACATAAAAAGCGCTGCACAGGCCACTTGTCATGTGATCAAAAACGATCAGTGCAAGGGTAAGAGCAACTCCTTAACGGCGAGATCCGTCGCACTAAAAAAAAAAAAAAATTGAAAGAAAAAGCGGAAAATGATGTCAGCGCGCCGCGTAGAACTTTGGCAGAGATAAGGACGTTCTGCGCGGCGCGCTGACATATTTTTTTTCCGATTATTATTATTATTAATATTATTATTATCATGATTATTATTATTTTATTATTATTATTTTATTTGCGCGACAGACTTCGCCAGGAAGGAGGGACTGCCTATATTCTAGATTAACTTGCGACAGTAACTTTTCCGTCTGTCAGTCAGTCTGTTTGTCTGTCTCTGTAAGCGTGTGTGTTTCTTTGTAGAACTGTTTGGCTTTTTGTTGGTCAGTCATTCCGTCTATCTGTCATTCTATCAGTCTGTCTGTCTCTGCGTCTGCCTGGCTGTTTTTCTGTCTCTGTTCAGTCTCTGCTCATCTAGAACTCAAAGAAAATGACACCATAATAATTCTTGATAGAAGATCTGTAAGAGATTTAACACCTGATTCTGCCCGCTTTAACTTACAGTTTTTATGAAACATTTTTCCATTTTTGACGGATGACAGTTGGTGTGAATTTCTACTTTCCTGTTTATATTTACAGATCAAACAGCGATCACTTTGTACCCGAGCAAATTCATCTTGACAAAGTTCTCTTGTTATCTCCTTTTGTTTTTATTTTTTTAGCGAATCGCTCGATGAATTGGCCGGCAAACGAGTGTTGTTGTTTTCCTATGGCTCTGGACTCGCTTCAGCCATGTTTTCCTTTCGAATCTCAGACGACTTTGGACCCAGTTCCCCACTGAACACACTGGTGACGTCACTGAAGGATATCCCAGCACGTTTGGCGTCCCGGAAAGAAGTGGAACCCGCCGAGTTTCTGGAAACTCTCAAAATACGCGAACATACTCATAACAATAGCAGTTACACGCCGATCGGCTCTGAGGAAGATTTATTTCCAGGGACTTATTATTTGACGTATGTGGATGACAAGTTTCGACGAACCTACCAGCGAAAAAAAAATTCCTCCAATGAGGGCAGCTGTATGGTTGTTTAAAGGGGATTTATGCTTTGGAGTCCAGATGATTTTAATCACTTTTAGTATCTATAAAATTGTGACACTTACGGTGTTTTGAGATTCCAAAGAGTAACCCCCTTATTTTTTCGAAAGTTGTCTTCGAATTAGGGAAAACTTCGAGCGGCACTTTGAATCGTGCTCAGCAGCCCGGCCACTTTCCTGTGACGTAATCTAGTCTGCTGTAGACTCCCGAGTTTGATTTATTATTATTATTATAATTATTATTATTACTTTGCAATAATTAGAAGAGTAACTGTTTGTGAACCTAGCGTTGCGATTTACTTTTTTTTTATTCCAATTTGCACGCCATAATCGAATTATAAGCACATCCAAAACAATTTTGGATCTTTACAGTCTCTGTTTGAAATCTCTGAACGCCGCAAGGATTTGATACTATATACACATTTTAAAGTGGCGGAGTTAAAAATGATGGTTTGTGGAACACAATTCCATTAAGTAGAGCAGATTTTAGGTATACGTGCTTCATGCAAGTAATTTTGAAAAGTTTGTTACATAATGTGACGGTGGATCTGTGTTAGTCAACCATTTTTTGTAATCCAAACCAGAGGATGTCTCGAAACTTATTTTTTTAGGTCCTCGTTGTTAACGCTCGTGCAAGCGAATGGGGAATATTTCTCTCCGAAATTTTTCTTTATAACGCTGATCTCGATGATGTATTTTTAATGTGAAATTGTTCGTCGAAATACAGCGTTATGATTTACCTTCTCCGTGTGGAGGTAACTGCAAGCAGTAATTGCTTTGGAATTAACAGTTTAAGTGTTATTTGGCGTTAATTAGCACTTTTTGTTCTTTCAATTGATGTAATGAAAAGAGTGAATTGCCGCTAAAACGGTTACCAACGTCATAATCATAGGGAAATACTTCATTAGACTTCTAACCGCGAAGTCACTAATTAAATTAGGGACAATTTATTCAAAAATGACAAACTCGAAGAGATATTTTGCTGAGTTGTTGCAATTTGTGAAGGGTGTAATTGTGGATGGCTCGAATCTTCTTACCCACTTGAAATTTAATGGTAACAGTTAAAGCAAACGTAGTAAAAAAGTGTAGTATAACTTTGAATAACCCCCCTTCCCGCTCAACAATGAAAATATGAAGTGAATGTCTTTTTTTTCTTTTAAATTAAAAATGTTGATATTTTGAGTTAAATTTACCGGCCATTAATTAGTTAGCTGCGATCTGATTAATTAGAGAGGAATCTTACAATTAGTGCAAAGCCTATCTAAGTGACATTCCTTTTAGCTAATTGTACAGAATTAAAACTGAGTTGCAAATCATTTGGATTTCATTTTGGGACATAGTGAGGAAGTTTCTATCATAATTTTCACAATGAGCGAAAGAAACGACAGCAATGTCGTCCGTACGACGAACACAGCGCCGACTTGTGATCAGTTTTCACATTTCTATCACTTTAATTCCGAAACTTCTCGAAGCGTTGCCAAGGAACAGACCGAACCACATGATCGCCAGGAGGAGTTACAGCAATTTACCGAGGATCAAACGGAAAAGACGAAACAGAAGAAGCAAGCTGGAATACTCACTTGGCTGCGAAAACGTGTTTCGTTGAACTCCGAGTCTGAGGTGACAACGTGGTTGACAGCACCCATGGGCACTGCTCACAACAGAACTTCGAAGGAAGTAAAGGACAACGTTATAATCACACAAGTGAAGAGAATGCCCACGTACCGTTGCGTCTCTTTGCCTCCGGGCTGCATTCCAACAGAAGTTTTACTTGCCGCGGAAGGAACAAGTCACGTCGAATTGGACCCGAGGTCAGAAAGCGTCTCTGACTCCAAAAGCACCAGAAACGGGAGAGGAGACGTTCAACAGCGTGCCATCGTCGTCTCAAGGGCTCAGAGAAATGAAGAGTTTTTGCCATTTGAGGTTTTGAGAAATAACTGGGTCGGTCCAAATTAATGAACTGGAGGCGAGTGAGGGTATTTCTTCAAACTGGGACACAGAACCTGTATTCCTTTTTCTTGTTAATCATATCTTTAAAGAAAGTAATAAGCATGTTGGTGAATTTTCCATAGCTCTAGATCTCCAATCAGTTCATCGCTGTCAACATTTACTTTGTTCCCATACATTTATTTAATGCAAAGTCAGAAAATCTCCAATTTTTTTTCACTACAAAATCCGTTGGTTAAAAAAAAAAACAAAACACAACACAACAACAACGAGAAACACAGGTTCAAAAAATGGAAACAGCGAACAAAGTTCAAAAAGCGAAACAAACAAGCCGAGTAGTTGTGTGGGGAGTAGGGAGGGGAGATCACTTTGCCAGAAAGAAAATTCCAATCGTCTAGGGATGCTTCAACCTTACACTAAGTCTGACAAAGCATAGGACAAACCTTTCCTCATACTACTGGAACGGTGTTTTGGTTTACAATTTATGATTAATCTTTTATTCAGATATTCTTGACTTAAATAGCTTTCTCGTTTTAAATATCTATTTACAACAATATACAGCCATCATAATATTTCAAAAACTAAACAATGAACACTCCCCTTTCACCTTAGATTTTGGAATAAGACATTTCTTTAGCATTGAATTTGTACACCGCACACATTTACACCATTTAACTTTCTTTAAACAATTTTACAAAAATCGTTTCATAACCATAACGAGTCAAGTTAATCCTATGATTAAGAACTCGTTAAATGTAAATAATTCTTACAGAAAATTTCTTTAATATGTATGAGCTGAGAGTAATATCAACCGCATTAATATTAGTAATAATATTAATAATCATAATGATAACAACAACAATAATTATCATTATTATTATTATAATAAAATCAATAAGTAGAATGGTCCGGCCAAGATGCATACGAATGGTCTTGAGTATTTCCTGCAACGGAACGATCCGAAAATTCATTTAATGGTCGTTACAAGTCGCCCCGAGCGCTTCTTGCGGCTTGTTGTCTGATATGGGCGTATGAGCTTTGATATTCTCCGAGATGGCGTTCTTTAACCTGTTTAAGAATCCTTCTCTTTGGCCTTCGGATGAAACACTTAGACGGACGCGCAATGAGTCCAAAAGCTTGTCTAAGAGGTCCAAGTTTGCAGATGCACCAAATCGTCTGCTGAATTGAACACGGCTGAAAATGAGATAAGTGATGACAGAAGTCAATCAAGAGCATTTTGTAACTGCAATTCAAAACCTAGGTTATCAAGACCGGTCAATTACAACAAAAGAAAACATCACAAGGAGCCGATGATAACTCAGATGAACCACAAGCAAACTCCTCGAAGCGCGGGAAATCGCGGGTGACCAAGTTGAGATTGATTTGAGTTCGCATCTGATTGGTTGCGAGAGTGGCGCGAGTTTTCTGAACCAATCAAATAGCGAAGGAAAGCAAAACCATTGCAATCCCAACACAATTGAAACTCGCTCAATCTAATGAAAATCTTTTACAAAATAGTTATATTGCAGACAAAGTGTTCTCCTATAAAATCATCGAAAAGTTTCATACAATAGGACGTTGTTTCAGCTCGTAAAGTGCAGTTAGAAAAAGAAAAAAATCTCACAATGGATATCTCCTGTAGTCGTCTGCGATGTTCCTCACTTGTTCGACCGTATCATCTTCATCAGCCTCGTTTCTGAACACTTCGTAATTAAACTGATACGGCAATCTATACTGGCCAGCCGACTCCCACTCGTCACTGATTGTCAAGCATCTTATTTGTGATTGGTTAGACAGATTGCTGTAATTGTACGGGCTGACAATTATTCCAATGAAGGGTGCTCCGCCCTTTCCAAACCATTCCTGTTCACAGAAAGAATAAATTTTAAAAATATGAAGATATCTGGTTGTCTACTAAAGAAATAAACTAGCCCAGTTCAAAGGTTGAATAACACTATTTACTAGACAAATCTCAATTCGGTGGATAGCGCAGCACGTTTTGCCATCACGTATCCGCTGGATCGCGATCTATCCGTTGGATAACGATATCCATCCTTTTTACAACTGGGCTCTGACCTTTTGGCTGGGTGGTCCGGGATCGAGACAATTTTCGGGTCATGGGGATGGGATGTTGGATGTTGGGGGGGGGAATGCTTCAATGCCGTTTCATAACATCGTTTAACCCTAGTCTGCCGGTTTGGAAAAGAGAAGTAGTTTTCCTAGGTGAGTGTGCGAAAGGTATGGCATTAAGCAATTTTAGCTCTTTGAAAGGGGTACCTCTTACAAACCTTTTTAAAAAGAAAAGGTAAGGAGATAGGCTACGAATACCCCTGCTTTTCCCTCCCTATAGGTAGACTCCCATGCCAAGCAAGGACAGAAAGAGTGGAGCAAATACAAGAGAAGACGTTACTTTTTTCTCCTACCCCCGAGAAATTCCATCGAACTGAAATACACCCCCCCCCTTTCAAATCCTACCTAGCCCCATTTACGACATCAAGAGTTACCTGAAATTTTGCTTGAGTTTCTATGTCTCGCACGGAGGGAATGGGAGCGAACGTGGGATGAGAATGGTACCAGCCCACCACAGCCAATCCTCGGAGCGCTAAGTCTTCAGAGGCCTGCGTTTGAGATACGGGGTCCATTTCACACTGCAGTCCTGTGCTTAAGCTACGACAAGGGATCGCCTTGGAAACCTACACGAGCAAAACAATGAATAAACGGTTGAGACCATTTTTGCAACAGACGCGATCGATCAGTTTTCAAGTTTGTAAGGAACATAACTGACAACTCGCCTTCAATACTCTCGAGTCATGTGAGTAATGTCCTCCAAGCAGACCTATCACCTCAGTGGTTGACATGTGCGCATGCGTGTCCATGACCACCAAGGTCTCTGATTGGATGTGAACATCAAAAGGCACAGCACCAAGTGAAGGAAACTTCCGGCAGGGAACGAGTAAGAACGGATCGTACGAGGGCTTGCTTCGGGAAGGTCTTTTCCTGGGGACTGACGGGGAGCCCTTTTCGTTCAAGGATCCATTGGGTGAAGCTTCTTTGTCAGGAGACAAGTGCTGGAAATTAAAGTTTTCAGATAAAAAACAAGTGCAAAATTTTAAGTTTAAAGAACACAAGAACACAACGCAAAGGCCTTCCCTGGTCTCTAACCCAGGCCTTTTGGGCTCTATATTTGACCACCGCGTGTAAAATCCTCCAAGAGTAAACATAGTTCTTTAGAAAAAAGGCCACAAGATACCTGTATCGTCATCCCTTCAGCTTTACTCGGGTCGATCCAGTCTCCCTCTTCACTCCTCTGTCGCTTTCTCCTCGGTCTGAGTGAATTTACCCAAGATTCCATATGAACGTTTACCTTTGCATCTGTAACCTCGTCTTGCTGTCGGACGCGAGGAACTGGTCTATCCAAACAACCTTCGTTTATAGCCCCAATATCTTCTAAAAATGCGTGAACTCTTCCGATAGAGTTGACATCGCCGCAGTTTCGAAGCCCACTCCGTACCGCCGTTTTGAAAAGGAAATTCGGTTTAGTTTTTTCCCACATGTCGAGAATGTAGTTGCGGATTTTCATATACCGCTCTGGTGTCTTTAGAGCACGCCCCATGAAAAATTCCACATTGTGATCTTTCTCTAAGTCCTGTATAACATTTCTGTCGATAGTGATTGGTTTAAGTGAAGTCACGTCAGCCCCAGGCTGCTCCCGGTCTAAAGAGTCTATCAGTTCAGAGCTAGTTACTTCACCACTTGTTACTGCTTCCCAGTCTCTAGCAGATACATCACCTTCTTTTTCACTTGCGACTAGCGCTCGAGAATTGTGGCCTGTATCTTTATTTTGAACACAATCGTTGTCCGCAATTACTTCTAAGCTCTTAGCGAGTCCGTTTGGGAAACACTGCTTCTCTAGAGATGATTCTTCTTCACATTCATTTGGCAAACGATTTTCATATTCCACACCATAAGATAAACGATCATAGTTCTTCCCCTCTTTAGAATTAGTTTCCTTTAGAGAAGCCACCTCCAGGAATGATTTTGATAAAGATGAGGAATTTCTATTTTCAGACGGCGTTTTATTATCCAAATTCGGAGAACATCTGACATCGATAGCAGAGATGCTGGCCTCTGTTTTCGAAGAGTTCGGCGACATGCTTTCTGGAAGGATAGTGACAGGATTCTCTTCCAAACTAATCTGTTGGTTTTCTACTTCTGCAGCGTGAACCAGGGCCGAATAAACAGCCTCAGGACATGATGTCGTTTGACCTGCAGTAAAGCGAATTCATTGAAATAAAGAAAAGCTCGTAAACGTTTTAATAGCGCTATATTTCACATATGTCGTTATGAGAAGAGTAAAGGAGGATTAAAACGAGGAAATATTTGGACGAGATATAAGAACGATAAGAGATTAACAAGAGGGGAGACTGAGACGAGAACAGATTGGGACACAAAAAATTAGGACTAACCCTAAGTTTGTATTGGTGAAGACGGGAATGAGAACAGACTAAGACGAGAGGAGATGGGAACGAGAATAGATTGTGACAAGAGGAGATGGGAACCAGAATAAACTGGGACGAGTGAAGATGGGGACGAGAATAGATTGGAACGAGAAGAGATGGGAACGAGAATGGATTGGGACGAGAGGAAATAGGAGCCAGAGTAAATTGGGATGAGAGGAGATGGGAACGAAAATGTAATGGGACGAGAGGAAGAAAAACAACAGAAACGAGTAGATGACAGGAAAACAAAATTTTCCTAAGAGAAGGGAAACAAGAAAACTGAGAAAAGCTATTATTATAGTCAGGCACTCATCCTAACGAGATGGAAGAGGAAAAAAAAGAAAGCAAAACATTGTTTTCACCAGTGAATTTTCATAACAATACTGAATATTTCAAATTACCGGGAATTAAATGTGTATCTGACTGTTCGCTATCAGATCCGTCCACGTCCACCTCAATATCTTCGTCATCAGATTCATCCTGTGCCTTGTCCACGACAACTGTAGGAAGTACAGACGTAGAATGGATCACGGGATCGTCTTCCGAAATGATATTGTCATCTAGGACTTGCTGTATTTGTACTTCAGAAACGAAAATAGTTTCATTGGACTGTCCTTCTTCAGCTACTCTTGACTGTGCGAAAGTTTTATTCTGCAGAAATGAAAAGGAACAGTGTTCCTTTAGTTGAGCGGGGAAGGGCAGAGCAAGCGCCAAGCGCAAGGTCGACAGCGGAGAGGAAGGGAAAAAAAACAACAACTTCGGCGGCTTTTATTCAGCTTGCACCCTGGTCAAAACTAGACAATAGATCTGAAGGTCTACGAGCAGACTAGTCGTTTAGCTGTATTGTAACTGCTTGTACCAACGAACAACTCAGAAAAAAAAATACAGTTTGCAGTAGCTCTAGTTGATGGATTAAATTACGTACGAGCATATTTTTTATTCCAAGCAGTGTGCGTGTTTCACGCGTGCAGTGCGTGGGAATTGCATGCGCGTGAAGCGCGTATAATGCTGCGGCACACGTTACCTTTTGTCTAAAATATTGCTTAGCATAATTCTTCACTTGCAGAGCCGTCCGTGTTTCAATCATGCTGGCGATCTTTGTCCAACTTCGGCCATACAATTCCTACAGAAACAAATCACTTTGCTATCAATTTTTATATTTGTTATCGACAACGAAGATTGTATTCTAGATAAAGCACTTGGACACATACACAGCATATCACTTAACCCTGTAACTCCCAAGATCTCATTAGTAATTCTCCTTACTGTCTGCCAAATGATTCTCATTCCGTTATTTTGGAGAATTTGGTATTGGATCAATTAGTAATTCCATGATGATATTTTTCTTTATTCTCATCACTTGTCTGAATGATATTGTATAGATATAGTAAGGAGAAATTCTGTTCTGGTCACTCATTGGAGTTGAAGGGCTGACATGATTTTCAAAGATGTGGCGCTTCAAATTCCAAAACCTTACCTCAACACAACACTTTATGAGTGTGGGCAAACACGAAAGAAGTATGAAAAAACCAAGGGAAGATGACTAGAAGGTCATTACATTTATCAACTAAACGTGTAACAGTGTACCTTGATGAAAAACCAAATTCTCCAAACTAAAAGGAGAATAACTGATCAAGTTTTGAGAGTAAAGTTCCCACTATAAGTACTTTGTAGAATACTCTAAGAAATAAGTACAAAATTTACATGGTCAATATGTCATTTCAGAAAGAAGTCTCTATTATCTTGAATAAACACCAAGATTTTATTTATTGAAGATAACTATTTACTTAGTATTTTAACTTACAAATGGTCATGAATAAGTATTGTCGATTTAGTCCATGTAGGTCCACACCAGCTCTACTCTTTTCAATTTTTAACCTACTGTAAATAAAGAATTGATTTTGATTCTTGAGTAAACTTACCAATCCTTGTTCAAAGAGTTCTTGTTCCTCAATTGTCCAAGGTTTTCTGTGAGTTGCAGAAGGTTGTTCCCTACAACAACACAATTTTCAAAAAAGGTAGAGCATTGCTTATGTGGATGGCATAATGCTTTAACCATTCAAGAATCAGGAGGTTCAGATAAAATTTTTTGGTTTCTAAAATTCCTCCGTCCAAAAAGCTGATTTATGTCCACACAGTTTTAGTACAAGACCCAGGGCTCAAACTTAACTTTTTTGTCTACTAGCAAAGTTTTGCTAGTAAGATTTTTTTTACTATCAAAAGAAGGAACCTAACTAGCAAATGTTTGCTAGAGGATATTTTTTAGACTCGTAACTTCGAAAAACCACTTGCATTTTTGCAAGTTTGCAAGTGCTAATTTCGAGCCCTGACAAGACCAAAATATTTGTAAAATGAATTTCAAAAAAATTCGAAACACATCAAGACGAAAGGTTTCATCAATTTGTTACAGGTAAATCAAGATATCCTAGTTGAAGCTTTTTTGAAATAACTTCGACACATGGCATTGTCCGTAAATTTTATATTTTTTACCTTTTGGGGTTCAACTTGGTGATGCCCTTTTTCACATTTGAATTTGAATTCCTTGAAGAAAAAAAACAAATATTTATAAAATAATTATTATTATCTATTGATTTTAATTGCAATCTAGTTAAAAAAGTTATCACAAGTTGAATTTTGGAATCACTTTGTAACCCATTAACTCCCATGAGCGATCAAGACAGAATTTCTCCTTACAATATCAATACAATATCAAGCAGAAAAGTCATGAGAATAAAGAACAATGTCAATTATGGGATTATAAGTTGATTAAATACTGAAATCTTTGAAGTAACAACATAAAAATTGAGAATAAAGGTAAACACAGACCAGCATGGACTCCCCATGTGGTTTTTGTGGTCACATCACATCAACGCCTTAGTTTTGCCCTCACCAGCATGTCTTTAACCCTTTAAGTCCCACTAGTGACCAAGACAGAATTTCTCCCTACACTATCAGTACAATATCAAGTAGACAAGTAATTGGGGGATTATTAGTTGACTCAATTCCAAATTCTCCAATCTAACATTATATGAATTGTATGGCAGACAGTAAGGAGAATTACTAATGAGATCTTGGGAGTTACAGGGTTAAGGGATTTCCCCTTTTTGTGAGAGATGATTTGTAAAAAATTTTTTCAGTAAGGGCTGATTGTGTATCAGACTCCAATGTTCCATCAATATATATTTTTTTAATTTTTAACAGCAGAGTAGTACATTGTGACAAAAGGCAATAAACATTTATGACCTTTTGGCTTTTGTGTAGGCAATATGGAAAATTACTTATCAGATCTGGGATGATAGGGTTAAATTTCTACATACAAGAAAGCAAGTATAACGCAGTTGGTTCACTATAACTAGTGTAAGAATAGATTTATATGTTTTTTTGGTGAACCAGAGGTGAATAAGTAAGGAGGCCTATAAAAGTAAATACCACAACCTGGTGGCAATCGACATTTTTTATTGAGGTAAATAATCAAATAAATGTTATACCTTCCAACACAAGTTTGCCTTTTCTTCTCCCCTGCAAAATTAAATGTGGTACATTAATATGGTTACTGCTGTAAAAACAAACACACCAACACACAAACAAAACAATAAAACCATACTAAATTCAAAATCAGTGTCCATGCCCCAACCTCAACCAAAACCCCCAGAATTTTGCAGAACATTTTGAAATTCTGTGCCTGTTTAAAATCAAAAGATTATAATTCAGTAATAAAACTAATCGCATGCCTTACCTGCTGGTATCTTGTCCAGTTTGATTGGTGTTGACCTGTAAGCATACATTCTACAATTCAAGTTAAGGAGCAACACTGTATATTAGAAGGAGATATATATATAAAAATAATTCTCCTGTTAATGTTCAAAAGTCTGCATTCTTGGAAAAGGAAATGAAATGAAGATAGTTTGTGTTGTTTCTGGTTAACCCTTTAACTCCCAGGATCTGATTCTTAATTCTCTTCTCTGGCTGCTTCACAGTTCCTTGTAGGATAGTTACAAGAATTTGGTGTTTGATCAAGTTAAAAACTTCTACCTGATAAGTTTGAGTATTCTCATGACCTGTTAGCTGGATAATGTGTAGATGTTATAGGGAGAAGTTACATGTTAATCACTTTTGGGAGTTAAAGGGTTAAATAAATTATACACAATGTAAGCCACGACTTCTAAATCCTTTTTACTTCACTTCTAAAAAATTGAAGCCCGTACAACAAAAATAACACTTAAATTCAGAACCATATATCTCCAGTCTCCTAACCCTTCCACCCCTAAGAGTGACCAGCATCTAATTTCTCCAAACAAAATCACCCCTGAATCACACATTAAGTTCATGAGAATGAAAGTAATGATCCCTGACTAAAGAACCTCTTGATTATTACACAAACTCTCCTTGTCAGCATCTTAGGAAATGTATAGAGATCAGTATGGAGAATATGCATAATGATATTAAAGGGTTGACTCTTGCACTTAACCTGAGATCTTTCCCATGATTCTCTATACTATCAGCTATATGTTTCCCTGAATATTAGTAGAGAGAAGTTCATGTGTGATCAAGGAAACAACCTCTAACTGAAAAGGTTTGGGTTATTCTGACTCATTACTTGTCTGTTGGATAATTTTGAATTTAGGAGAAACTGCCAGTTAATCACTTCTGGTATAAAAGGGTTCAGTTGAACTCATATCTCAAAAATCTGGTACAATGACTTTAGATTTTTCAACAGATATAGTAAGGATACTGTTCTTCTAGAATCATTTTCTCAATAGCTGAACGACTCTTGTCATCAGTGCAAGGATCCAAGGACCAAACCTGTTCAATGTTAACGATTATAAGTCAAAGTAAGGAGCTAATAATATTAGATGCAACCCCGATTTAATATAATTCTGATTTTAAATAATTCTAATTCTGTCATAAACAAAAGAATCACATTAGAAAATTCAGACTGAACTTTTTAAGGTATTCGTACACTGTTTTTTTTTTTTTTTTTTTTTTCATCGCGTTCATTTTATGTTGCGTACGCGAGCTTTAAAATATACACTCGAGGTTTGTGATATAAACAATAGCTGTTTTGGAAAAGATGCCTGACTCTTCAAATCAGTAAAATTTCACACATGACCTAAAGCTTCAGCGAATGATTTCCCCAAAATGTCAATATTTCATCTGTTCATGGTTTGGAAATATTTCATTGGATTATGGTTAATGGTCAACACTGTCAATCTTGCTTACATCAAATAACACATTAACACACAAAATGTAAACTTCTCACCGAATTTGTGTCTAAAAGCCATGAATTAGGATCGCAATATTCCGACGAGAATGAGCTTCCAGAGGGATTAAAAAAATTCTGATTGCTGGCGTCCTTATCATACCTAAAAAATAATAAGTCAATATTTAAATTCAAAGCCTACGTTATGTATAAACAAACAGTTTAAAATGACCGTCTCCTACCTTCGATTTAACATGGCTCAATTTTTATCACTAATCAATGTAAGACATGTTAAAAAGAGTTATTGTAAAACATATTATAATATCATAGTTTTCGTACCACTTATCTTTGTGATCGTCATCAGCCAAGTCTTTTAAATTTGATACTTGCTGACAATCGGAAATACCTTCGACATCGATCTCCTCTTCTGCCGATTCCGCCATATTGAATTGGAATGGCGAAAAGACTGGAACGAGATGTAGACTGACTCTCAGGGTGGGGATGCGGCAGTTTTGTCCGTCAAGAAAATTTTAACAAAGTATAACTAAATTTCTGTTTCACGACTTTCTCTCTCTCTTTTCCGTAATTCATTAGGTAAAGATAATTCTTTGTGAACATCCTGTTTCAAATGTTCGAAACATGTTTAATATTATACCGCCTTTAAACATTGCCTTCATTTTTTTGAGAAAAAAAAAAAAACTTCACAAAGACATCTTTGGGAGCCATTAATGGGCTCCTGACATCTTATAATAGTAAGCCATAAATGGAAAATTGTGAATAAAGAAAAAAAATATCTGAATAATTTCTTGCACTTAAAGCCCATAATTACAACACTGTGCTGAGGCCTATCCCGACGCAACGGTGCTCGGCAACTTTTGAACACCTTCTGGCGGTTTTATCAACCACGAGCAACTTTTGCTTTTTCTGAGCAATTTTTAAGTAAACTAGCCAGTAGATTAAGGAAAAAAACCTGAGTCAACGATTTCACAGAAAACTTCAAGAGATGAGACGTACTCTGAGAATGCAATTAGTAGAGGTAATTGCGTTCAAGTTCCCTCATATCGTTCGGCAAGATGTCAAATGAAACATATGCATGTGGTTTGTTCCATTCAAATTATGCATGAGAATTCCCATATTTCCCCCATATTTGCAAGCAACTGTTTCTAGCCAGGTTTCAAGCCATTTTTCTCGACCGATGTCGCGAAAAATTTCTGTCACGGTCTAGGAATTTGGACACCCCATGAATTTGTAACATAATACCCTGAGGTTAAAATGTTGTGGCTGATCAGGCATTTGTATCTCTTGGAGACGGAATCGTTTGAAATCAACATTATATTTACGGCTACGGCCATTTCGAACCTCGGAGGTTTGCGCTTAAAGTTGAGTGTTAACGAAGTTTGCCTGCATAAAGATGTCTTCTGACGAGGAAACCATTCCAGATGACGATGGTCTGCCATATTTGGGAGAATACGATGGTGAAAGAAACGAACTGGATGAACGACATGGTTTTGGGCGAGCGAAGCTTCCCAACGGTGATACCTACGAGGGATATTACGAAAATGGCAAGCGGCACGGGAAAGGAACCTACAGGTGAAGATTTAAGTCTTATTTTGCATCAAGCAATCATAATTTGACACCACGGTTTTTTTTTTTCAGAACCCATCGGGTGTGTTTGGCCTTTCTTAGTAAAAACATAATTCTCTTGAAGTCGATTAAACTTCCGTTCTGCCATCGGAGTTGAAAAATTCATTGCATGGTCTCAACGATCTCTGCCAGCATTGACTTTGATGCATGGAATAAAAGCGATTGTTCATTGTTTAGCGAAGATATTTGCGTGGCAACAAATTAACATTGACTTTGATACATGAAATAAAAGCGATTGTTTACTGTTTAGCGAAGATATTTGCGTGGCAACAAATTACCATCTTACGATGCTTTGACAAAGGCGCGTTTCAGTGAAGGCCAAAGGCATTAATATTCGAGTACTAGGGCACGTTCGACTATAACCACAGCTGAGGTAGAATGCTTTCTCTTTCCGCATTTGCCCAAATTAGTAGTTGTACTACTATTGACACATTCGAGCTAATGTTTATAATGACCTCTCAAATGTTGACTTGGTGAATAGGGTATCGTGACTTCCAGGTGCGAGCAATATCAGTCGCTTTGCTCGTTCATCCATTCAGTTCACGTTTGGTCTTTACTGATGTCCCGTGGTTTTCTCCTGCCGCTTGTTTATAACAATGCGGAATTCTGGCCAGAAAGGAGGAGATATAAGTGTTATTAGACGTACCTTTTTGACGCTAGAGACAGGTGATCGTAGCGAAATGGCGATGTTTCGAAAGTTAAGCCCGCTTGGTTTATTAATTCAATTTTTTAACACTTTCACGCAAAGCCGTGTTCAGTCATGCGCAAAAGGTCACGCCGTGAAAAATTCTTATCTTGAAAGTCGTTGTGAAGACTCTTCTTGAATAAGGTATTTATATCAGCTAAATCCTCTCTGCCATAAAAGTGCTTAATTTTCAATTAAAATTCTAAACAGAGAATGCAGTGGCCATTTATTTCTGACATATTCTCTATTTTTTTAATCACTAAAGAAATCCTCTCGTCATAAAGAGAAATATGTACTTCACTGCACGTACTATGAAACAAGGTGTTATGATA